TATGAATCCACGATATACTCCCGTATTGTTGTTCATTGCATGATGTATGAGTAGTTTATTTGCTGTAGGCTAGGGATTCTAGCCATATTATGGATTTGTTTATGTGCTTAATAAGATTATTGCACGTTTTGGTTAGATCCGATTTTATAACTTGAAAATAATGCGTTCTTAGGATTTATCACTCTATAGAATCGATGTGGTTTAATTAATTACAAAGGAATTTGAATTAGTTAATACCAGAATTCATTCATAAGATAGATTCAATTATTAATTCTGAACTCATAGGAAGGATTTGATACAGAATTCTTAATTGATTTAGGAACAATATGAGTGAACGTTAATGCTTCTAATATGGACCTAGAGATGCAGAAGCTTATAGGAATGCATTAGTTAGAGAGCGATGATCCATGATCCGAACGCGTTGTAGATTAGAAGTTAGAGTTTTCCGAACCGAACCAAGACTGTAATTCAATCTAGATCTTTAGAAATAATCCATAGCATTGGTGAGACCCCGAACCTATAGTGCTTTAATTATAGTGCATTGGCACGATCAGAGACTATGGTGCTAGAAGAGGATAAGGTTAGTGAATGGATTGCTCGAATTGGAACATTTTATGAGATTGATGGATGGGAGGACATGGAGAAACTTCGATTTGTTTCTCAGACTATTAACGACAATGGTGATTCACGAAGTTGGGCATACATTCCGGAGAAGGTGAAAATTGGCATGGATACTGCCTACGATGGTGGTGATGGGTTCTTCCAAGAAAAAATAAGATAGATTTTAGTGGTTCTTGTCTATGGCCATTTCACGGAATATGATTCGGATTGGGTTCCCGTGGACAAAGGATAAAGTTGAAAGATAGGGATTCTGGAAGGAAGGATGATGTTACCAAGCGTGTCAGAATTGTGCTTATAGGTACAATCATGCTTAATTGGGAAAATCGTAAGAATTTAAAAGAATATGATGCATAGAGAGTGCGAGAAAGAGAATGAAGGGTCGGCGATGCACAAGATAGAGACGACGACGATTCTATTTCCACCATTGCAGCGACACCATCTATCATTTTTTATGTTATACGGGAACTCTAAGAAACTATGGACATTGGCTACAGTGAAGAAGCTCCTCTGTTGCGCAAATGATGACAAGCACTACAAAAAGCAGTCATATAGCTATGGAAAAATCCGTCTCAAATATAAAAGAAATTTGTCGCATTTAAAATTTGCGACGGAATGCGACGGACTTATTTTCGTCACTATAGTGCTGTCGCAAACGTATAACTATCGTTAATATGTCGCAGCTTTACGACGGAAAAAATCTGCGTTTTGCGACAGAAAGTGACGGATAATTCCGTCGCAAATGTTTTAAAAAATTTAAAAAAAATATCAAAAATTATATACTATATATACACATATATATATACATTTTTACGTACACATACACCTATATACACATACATTACACGCATACAAATATACATACACATATATATTTCACATACACATACACACATACATACATATATATTTTCATATACACATACACATATATACATAAACACACACATATATATACATATATAAATACTCATACACATATACATATATACACATACGCATACACATATCCATTTCATAAACACATACACATACATATACACATATATTCATATACATATACAATCACATATACATACGCTTACATATTCACATTCACATACATATACACACACACATACACATTCACACATACATACACATTCACTTACACACATACATAAACACACACATACATATGCACCTTCACTTACACACACATATACACATGCACATACATAAACACACACAAACACATCAAACACATATATATACACATAAATACATATATATTACCTTATGGGAGAAATTCGGTGACTCTTGGAGAGATTTAGAAGAAATTTGGCGATCTTTATTTTTTTATCGAAAATTTTTTAAGGCTGATGAAGAAGACGACTCGTAATTTTAAATTGCGTTTTGCAACGGAAATTTCCTTCGCAATCCATCACAAAATAAAATTAATTCATGCGTCCAAAGTTCAAAAAATTTCATCGAAAAACGAAACAAAATACATTGTAACGGAATTTTTCGTCGCAATCATCTGTTTTTTTGTTGTGACATAATTATCCGTCGCAAACTCATAGCAAATTGCGATGGATTTTGCGACTGTTTGCGACGGATAATTTTTTCCACATTTTGTCGCAGAATCATCACATTCCGTCACAAATTCCGTCGCAAATTCTGTCGCTATATGCAATTTTTTTTGTAGTAAAGGGAGAAGATGGAGCTCTCGGTGCGAAGGGTACAACCATGATTGGCAGAGACGGTGGCATATTATCTATCGAAGAGATGTTGCTCGAGCTGCAGCGGTACATACGGACGCTGCCAAGTGCCACGACCGAGTCAAGAAGGGTTCCTGGTAGGGATATCCTGAAAGTTCAAGTGCAGGGTATAGTAGAAATATTTTCTTGGAAAAAACTGTTGGAAGTTGAAGAAGATCAAATTATCTTGGTCGATTCATTCAAAGTTAACGTTAACTCCGCTAAACCCCAAGCTCTTCATTACTTATCCGAAATGATGGAATCCATTGTATTAGACCTAAATACCCCTTAGTCTTTCTCACGTATTGAGAGAACCAGTATTTCTTCATTTATTTATAATTTTCACATTTTAAAAAAATGCATTTTCCATGAATATGTTATTATATGCATACCAACCGGATGGTGACGTAATGCCTTGCTGTATTGGGCATATGTACAAGAAAGGAAGGGCACTGATGGTGAATCCGAAAAGGGAAATAAATCCCATTATCACATTTATATGTTGTTTATTAAAGTATATTTATATGGCACTCGCTGTAATGATAATTGAAATATAGAGAGACTTGTATGAAAGAAAATTGAGATCTTTGAATGGTCATGCTCAAGGCGGAAGTAGATATAAAAAGACAAAGAGACATACACTATTTTTTTTTATGATTTTTTTTTTCCAGAGATTGCCGTACACACGATAATAAGAGAGCATGGGTTATCGTCTCCGTTTCAAGCATCAAATATTGATCCTTGAAATCATTGCAGGTATTTTTCGCTTTTTTATTTTATCTTTGTAAATATTCTCTCTGAAATTTGTAAAATTCGCCATAGATCTAAATATCTATATATACCCTATTATCTAATATATGCAACTCCTTCTCGAAATTTATAAAACTGCAATTATTTAACATGAATTAATCAAATTCTCTAAATTATATAACTCCGTAAAGCCATTTCTTTTAAACTCCCATGAAATACCGTGATTCACTAGAATTTCTTGTGTTGTCCTATGAAACTGTATTAATAGAGAATGTGTTGGCCTAGTCCTTTTCTTGGAAATAAATTATATTAAAATTAAGATTTTTTTGGGGGTTGGTTTTCGGTCAAACTTAGTTCAATTTTTTTAACGGTCCAAATCTATTAATTTAAGAAATTTCGTTTGGGTATCAACCATAATAGTAGTGTGAATAAACTTATTAAGCCTTTTCCCATTTACTTATTTTTTTCCTATACCAAAGAATACATTTATTACATTACATTTAGGAGGTTTATACACACATGTGCATGCATATATATATATATATATATATATATATATATATATATATATATATTGTGTAGATTTAGTAGAAGCGGCCACGAAATATTCATTAATAAAAATCCTAAAATAATTTATAAAAATTCAAGAAGCCAAGAGTCAAATCCAAGATCTAGTCTTGGTTTTCAAATAGACATACCATAGAATGTGCTTTGGATATCAGCATCGGCGATGCCAACACTATAAATGAAATGGCCCATTAGGAAAAGTATAACACAAATCTCATCATTGTCTATGATGAATTTCATATATCATATTATTTGATTAACATTAAAAATGCGAACAATACCTTTGACATTGCAAAGAGTTACTTTGAAATATCATTTTATTAAAAAAATATTATTTTATGATCACGAAATTATTAGTTTGTCTAGATTAACGAATATTTTGTGATCAAGGTACGGTGATTGCTGGCAAAAATGAAAAAAGAATTTTACAACAGGTGATCGATATGTAAAGAAAATTTCTAAATCTTAAGTAACCTTAATTTGAATTGATATATTTATTTATGTTTATTAAGTCATTTAGATAAAAGATACTTGTTTAGTACTTCCATTCCATGTTAATAATTTTTCTATAGACTAGTACAAAAAAAATATTGTTAGCAAATGGATTAAAATTATACACAATGATTTTATAATTCATGCATTGTGTAAACTCATTCTCAGAATATGTCAATATTTCATTAATTAAAACTTTTTGAAAAATATACAGTATTTGCTATTCGACTAGTCATCTCTAGATATGAATTCTTATAGTTTATTATTTTCTTTTGTAAAAAATAAATTATATATGTATTGACCTTAATTTGAATTGATATATTTATTTATGTTTATTAAGTCATTTAGATAAAAGATACTTGTTTAGTACTTCCATTCCATGTTAATAATTTTTCTATAGACTAGTACAAAAAAAATATTGTTAGCAAATGGATTAAAATTATACACAATGATTTTATAATTCATGCATTGTGTAAACTCATTCTCAGAATATGTCAATATTTCATTAATTAAAACTTTTTGAAAAATATACAGTATTTGCTATTCGACTAGTCATCTCTAGATATGAATTCTTATAGTTTATTATTTTCTTTTGTAAAAAATAAATTATATATGTATTGACAAAGAATCGAGAGAAGATAGCTTTCACGATCTAAAGTCTGTTTTTTTTTTAAAAAAAAAGTTTCTGAATACAACCAAGAGGCAAGATCTGGTCCCGACCTTAGTATGTCGAAATGTCAATAATGTACCACAAAATTTAATAATTATATAAAAACCATATAATTGTATGATATAACTAGAAAGAAAAAACGCTTTTCCGTGTTCATCATTCTCAGCTTACTAGGTCTTGATACAATGCAGAACTCAAGTTCCCTGATCTCTGCGAAGAACAATGTCGCCGGTTTTGAAGCTCTCTCTCTTCCTTTATGAATCTTTCCAAGTCTTCTTCTGGTTTCCAGTTCTCTCTCTCTCTCTTTCTCTGTGATGCTTTCCAGTTTTTCTCAATCTTGATGGTTTGATCAGATTCTGAGTTGTTTTTTTTTTTGTTTTGTTTAAACATTGTGTATTTCAAGGTCCAAAAGCCGAAGGAATGGAATCAATCGAGTTGTCATCCACAACAACATTATCTGACGGGTCCATGAGAATTGGCGACATGGGAGAGATAGGACACATTTGGAAGCAGACAAGGATCATTGTCTTGATACCCGTTTTGAAGTTTTTCATCACATTATGTCTGCTCATGTCCTTGATGGTGTTCGTAGAAAGAGTTTACATGAGCGTAGTTGTAGTCATTGTCAAGTTACTCAGACGAAAACCGGAAACGGTACACAAATGGGAAGCATTGAAGGATGATATTGAGCTTGGCCACGCCACATATCCTATGGTTCTTATCCAAATTCCAATGTACAATGAAAAAGAGGTAGTTAATACAAAAAATTCGTGGGTTTCATTTAAATTTTGTTATAGCTAATGAATTTAATTTTGTAGGTGTGTCAACTATCGATAGGCGCAGCTTGCACGCTCTCGTGGCCGTTGGATCGTATGATAGTTCAAGTGCTTGATGATTCTACAGATCAAGACAGTAAGGTCCTTCGTTAACCCTGAAAACGTTTTGTGTTTTATGCTCAGCGTTATATGGAACTAATGTATCTATGCGTGACAATTGGCTCGAGAACAGGATCTAGTAAACATAGAGGTCGCAAAATGGGCGAACAAAGGTATAAACATAATGTCCGAAATTAGGGACAACAGAAATGGATACAAAGCAGGAGCTTTGAAAGCAGGGATGAAGCATAGCTATGTCAAGAAATGCGAATACGTGGTGATTTTCGATGCCGATTTCCAGCCAGATCCCGATTTCCTCACTCGAACAATCCCTTTCCTTGTCCACAACCCCGAAATCGCTCTCGTGCAGACTCGGTGGAAGTTCGGTAATGTGCCTGAAAATGTTACTTGTCATGTTTGTCAGTAACATACTCTGATTAGATTCTTGTCAGAAATCAGCGAAAAACGATACTCATTTTTTAGTTGAAATGCATCATTCGATGGGCTACTCGTGTCGCAGTCAATGCCAACGAGTGTTTGATGACAAGAATGCAAGAGATGTCCCTCAACTACCATTTCTTGGCAGAGCAAGAATCTGGTTCTTCAACTCATGCCTTCTTCGGATTCAACGGTACATATAAGAGAGTATCCAATTATTGATCATGTCGGAAAAATACATATCATCGGCTAATTCTAAGACGTGTGTCCGAAAATTCAGGGACTGCGGGTGTGTGGAGAATTTCTGCGTTGAATGAAGCTGGAGGATGGAAGGACCGGACAACTGTGGAGGACATGGATTTGGCGGTTAGGGCCTGTCTCAACGGTTGGAAGTTTGTGTATGTTCATGACATTGAGGTAAAAAAAAAAAGACATTACAGACACCAATAAAGATTCAACCAAGATGCCTTGCTTGTAGAGTAAAATGAGCGACTCGGCGTATTTTTTAAGGTGAAAAATGAGTTGCCAAGCACCTTCAAAGCTTACCGGTTTCAGCAACACCGTTGGTCTTGTGGTCCGGCAAACCTCTTTAAAAAGATGACGGTGGAAATCATCGAGAACAAGGTATATGATCCCGAGCCTTCCCTCTCTTTTAGTCATGCGAATACGCACACGCAAACGCAAACACATGAATGCACAACTTATAGTTCTCGATGAGTTCGGATTCGTTCTAACCATTGTGTGTACCCTCTCTTGGCAGAGAGTTTCGTTATGGAAGAAGTTGTATTTGATATATAGCTTCTTCTTCGTAAGGAAGATAGTAGTACACATCTTCACATTTGTGTTCTACTGTCTCATTTTGCCAACCAGTGTTTTCTTCTCCGAGATCGAAATCCCGAAATGGGCCTCGGTTTATATCCCGACTACAATCACTCTCCTTAACGCAGTCGCTACGCCGAGGTACAAGCCCCTCCCCCGTCATTTTCATTTCTTTGTCTATACATCGTAATCATCAAAACGACCCTTTTTTTCCTCGCCTGGCAGATCGCTGCATCTTCTGGTGTTTTGGATCTTATTCGAGAATGTCATGTCTATGCATCGGACCAAGGCGACCTTAATCGGCCTACTTGATGCCGGGCGGGTTAACGAATGGGTCGTGACAGAAAAACTCGGAGATACTCTTAAGATGAAGTTAATCTCCAAAGTCCCGACGAAGCGTAGAAGTGAATTCGGCGAAAGGTACGGACAAACACGTCATTCCATTACACCCTTCATTCATATCTGTATATATGTTATGAAAAGGTCCAAACGGTTCTCTGTGCAGAATCCATTGGCGAGAGCTCGTTGCGGGTTTGTACATCTTTCTCTGCGGATGCTACGATTTCGCATTCGGGAAGACGTTTTTCTATGTGTACCTTTTCTTGCAGTCCGTCGCCTTCTTTGTTGCTGGATTCGGTTATGTTGGCACATTTGTTCCTGGTTAGGAAAAATTTTGGTTATGTGATTGTTGTCACCTTAAATCTTGTGGACAAAGCTCGTAGGAACAAAATTAATTTATCTTTTTTCAATCATTTTAATTTAATAGTTAAAGTATCAATCTTCCGTGTATAAACTAATATTTAAATTCTGAAAATGATAGTTACAAAAAAAAATTAGAAATCTAATATGCTCGATTTATCGTTTTCTTCTTTTTCTCAAATGGATTCGGAGAAATTTTTTTGTATTATTAATCGATTAATGAGGAAGAAATTTTACACAAATCATTCCATTAAACCAAATTAAATCGACCATATATTGTTATTAATACTTCAGAATTGAATCACTCAATTATATATCCATATGAACAGTGCCACCCAAAATGTATATATTATAAAATTTAATCAATAAAATTATAAATTTATTTAATAAAATATTAATAATAGTAAAATTAAATTTAAAAATTAAGTTAATATAAAATTATCAAATATTCGTTGGTTGTGTTATTTTCTCTCATATTTTGTATACGATTGATTTTTTGAATTTTATATTGAAATTTTCGAACTCAATAACTTTCCTAATACGCAACCAAATCAAACGTTCTTTATACTATTAAAAACATAATTTCGATATCTACGAATAGATATCAAGAATATGCAGATGTATAAAAAAGGTATGAATAAAACAATATTATTATATCAATGTAACTGAAATTACAAAAAAAATCTGAATTCATGGTAAACCATATCTCTTTATAAAAACTATTTTATACTCAATATCCACGGTTAAATGAAATATAACCTTTCTGTAGAAATTTGTGAAATAATATTTTTTATTCATAATCAAAATAAAATATAAATAGATGAGAGTCTTACATTAAATTGTTGGGATTCCTGTGATCTCTACAACGTATCTAATTTCTAAGAGATCGGTTCTAGGGTTTGCGCAACGGATGTAAAACAAAATTTTTGATGAAACCCTAAAACCTATCATGCATGATCTTGTAGAAACGTTAGAACGCTTACCTCAATCGATCCGGGACCTGTATCAATCAAAGAGTTCGTTCGATCACTAAAGGCAGGAAGAATACATCGCCCTCTACACGTATCCATACGGCGGAAAGGATTCCAACGGTTGGAACACGTTTGCTAGGACTGGAGAACGCTTTCTTCTTTGCGCAAGGGTTTCAGAGGTCTTCCTTTTGGTTTTTCAACTCTCAAAACCTCTCAAAATGGTCTGAAAGTCGTCCTCAAGAGTTTAGGAGGCTTCCCAAAAGTTCCCTTTACTTAAAACCCTAATTTGAGTGAGGTAAGGAAATTCCGACGTCTGGACCGATCGGTTTGGAACATTTTCCGGACCGAGCAACATTTGCACGTTACCTTTGGACCGATCGGTCTACTTCTGGACCCGTCAGTCTGGCCTCCGCTCCACCGGAAAACTCTCGTCTTTTCTCGCGCGTTTGTCCTTTTCTGTGTGTGTGACCCTGTAGGCTCGTCCGATATAGCAGTATAACCCGAAATCTCCATTTCGGTTATACAAGTCATAGGCGGTCTCTAGCAACACACTATGACTACCTATCTCGAATAAAGTTTGTTCGTGATCTTACGAACGTCGGTGATGATTCCGGTTGATGATCCTTTTGTATCACGATATCATAAGTCGAACATAAGGTATGAAGAAGCCACTATTGGGTTTCCTGGGATCTCTAGAGCGAATCCTATTCCTAAGAGATCGATTCTAGGGTTTGCGCAGCGGATATAAAACAAAAATTTAATAAACCCTAGAACCATGCTTCTAATGAATCGTAGAAACGTTAGAACGCTTACCTCAATCGATCCGGGGCCTGTATCAATCGAAGAACACGTCTGATCACGAAAGGCAGGAAGAATACCTCGCCCTCTACACGTATCCACACCACGGGATGGATTCCAACAGTTGGAACTTGTCTGCTAGGACTCGAATCCGCTATTCAATTTGTGCTTCGAGAAAAACGGACTTTGATCACACTCTCAATCTCTTGGATCTCTCCAAAAGTCTGCTCAATGTGTTCTTAAGTCGGCTCTTTTTCTCCTCACTTCATTAGGGTTTTTAATCTCCCTTTTATAAAGTGATTTAACCCTAATTTCGGTTTAATTGTCGGAAAAACCGGAACCTGGAACGGACGGTCCGGAATGGCACGTGGACCGTCCGTTCCAGTAAGGCAGAACGGACGGTCTACGTTTAGTGCGGACC